GCATCTGTAGTAATAAAGAAACTTGAAAACCGGGACTGCAGATTGGTGGTTGATGCTGCCTGATCGTTTTGCAGCGTGATATGACAGTGGACCTGATCAAAACTTATTTTAAAAAAATCTATTCTCAGTTTTTATAGACTTGCTTAGTATTAACTCGTTGGTGATCTGACCAAAGAAAAGCAATTGTAACAATTCACAAAGATGCAGAAAGCAAGCAGGAAGTTTCTGAGATTTAGTCTCTTTTATGTGAATAGTTTTAGGTTTCTCTGTAATGCATGTTATGCTATGCAGGCTTTTTTTAATAGTCCACAAATATGCACTTAAGTTCATTCATTTTAGGGGGATCTGAATGTAGGGATTGTCCCATATTTTACAGTTTTGGTTTGATGATTGCATGTCAGACATCTGAATGAATAGTTTGTTCCTCACTTCTTTAAATATGCACAATCCCATCTCTTTAATGTTTTCCACTGCTCAATCTGTACCACATCTTAGAAATGGAGAGCCGCATGAAACACACAGTTGAAATGGCACTTTTAATGTCTGCAATATTTCAGTCTCAAAAGATTATCAAGACTATTAGTAGGCTGTAATATTTCAAGTCCCATGCGTCAAAACACTGCATTCCAGTCATATATATTGACTGCTGAATTTACTTATTATTCACAGTTTTTTTTTTATTTTTATGTTTTGGGTCATAACCAGTCAGCAGCTCAGGTATGGTAATGTCTTTTTTTGTTTTTTTTCCCCCCCCATATCCAGGAAACCCAGCGCTTGCTTGCAGAGCCTGTGCCAGGCATCAAGGCAGAGCCCGACGAAGGCAATGCGCGCTACTTTCACGTTGTCATTGCTGGACCTCAGGACTCGCCGTTTGAGGGAGGCACTTTTAAACTTGAACTCTTTTTACCAGAGGAATATCCCATGGCAGCTCCTAAAGTACGGTTCATGACCAAAATATATCATCCCAATGTGGACAAGCTGGGAAGGATATGTCTGGACATTTTGAAAGGTAGACCAAATCTTTTTCTCTTATTCGGTACTTGCAGTTTTTCTTTGCAGTTTTTCTTTTTTTTTTTGTTGTTTTTTTTTTTACACTTTTTAAAGCCATGTACCTTCTTGATAAATTAATTCTTCTTTAATAAAGTATTTGGTTTCATATTCACTTAATAATTCCTTTCTTCCCAGCAAAACATTTTAAATAACTCAAGTTTGATCCTACCAGTACAGAGCATCACTAGTTCATCTGCTGCTCCACTAATATGTTAAGTGTCTTAAATATGTTTGTTTCACTGTTCTCTGAAATTTTCAGATAAATGGTCACCAGCTCTGCAGATTCGAACAGTCCTGCTATCTATCCAGGCTTTGCTAAGCGCACCCAATCCTGACGATCCCCTAGCGAATGATGTTGCAGAGAAGTGGAAGTCCAATGAAGCTGAAGCCATAGAAACAGGTGAGGCTATTAAAAACATCAAAGCTAGACCATGAACAAATATTGATTTTATTCATTTTAAATGTTTCTTTTCTTGCTCAGCTACAAATTGTGATTTCCAAGTCTACGTTATGAATTTTGTTTACCGAGTTTTAAAATATATTTAATATGGGATAATGTTGTGTTATCGTTACGGACAGAGAATAAAATAAACCTTTTGTATCAGTTTACCATCTTTATCTATTTTTGACACTAGAATGTAAACAACATTTTGGAAAAGAGATGTTTCTCACGCATAAAGGCTGGACCGCTCAACAATTCTGCAGTCTGGCCACTAAGAGGCGCTTTTCTTTAATCTAGTTCTACAAACCTGGATTCAGAGCACATCACACATTTTGTGTTCTTACATAATCAAGATGGATTGGCAGATTGATTTTAATGCAGCCCTGCTCACCACTTCACACCTACTTGAAAACTCATGTCTGTCTCATTTTAAAGAGCTATTATAGATTCCAGAAATTTGAAGTCATGCCAGTTTACTTCTACTGGGTTTGCATTTGCTGATAATGATCACTTCGTGTTACAAAAGAACATAATTAGTGGAATTGAACAGATAATTAGGCGAATTGAACGGATAGATCAATCATTTTACTATGGATGTGTTTTGTATCTGTTTTAAATGTACTTTCTACTACATATTTTTCTACATCAAATACGCTGTTTCTGGCAAACATGACCTCTTTTGGCCTTCTGTCAACACTGGCTCTTAATACACTCCAGATTTTTATTTTTTTTTTAAAAGAGAGCGAGAGAAGCAGGTATTCTTTGTCTTCCATAGCAATAATGTATGCTACTTCATATATCTATCATGCATTATCCCAATAAAAACACATTGCAATGTTTGACAAAATATGTAAAAGTACAAAGGTCTGAATTATATTTCATTTATGTAATCCTATTCAAAGTGTTTGGGGATAATTTAAGGAATAATGTTGCTGAATTATAATCCATCCTTCACATTTTCCTCTCTACAGCCAAGACATGGACCAGGCTTTATGCTGGAAACAAAAATGAAGTGTAAAGCATCCTCACCGGTGGATCACAAGTGAACACAACTCATCTGTTGCCAAGACCTCCTCCTGGCTTCATTTGCATTTAAAGGACACGGTCTTTTATTTTTTATATATAAATATATATGTGAAAACAACTGCTGATATTCTGTGATTTCAATGCACACTAGTACTGAATGACTTGTCTATGTCCTAACTCACTACTACTACTATTCAAATGCATGGGCAGCGGTTTTAGATCGACTCACCTGGCTTTCTTTGTCCAATCGGGAGGAGAGGGTGTCTTAGCGTCCCGCATATCTGGGGGAACGTGGCTTTAGAGGACTGAGTGAGGATGAAAGGTTGGCTAGATGTGAAAGTTGATGTATCTTTTTTATTTTATGTTGCTTTTAATTTTATTTTATTGTGTCGCTGTTTAATAAAGCATCTAACTACAACTACTAGCCCACTGTATACACTCGCGTAGAGGACTTTGTCTTGAGTAGATTTCTGCTTTAGGTGCCATCTGGTTTCATTAGCTGCACTGTAATAGGACTAAAAACCAAACTGAGCCTGCCACTGACCTTTCAACCTCTCCGTGTTAACTTGGATGCCCTGTAAGCCTCTGGATGGTAAAACTGTGAGTGATGGAGATTGTGGACCTTTCTTTATTTTTCATACATACAGTGTGTTATTACAGTACTGTTTTTTTATGACGTTTTCTGCTCTTTCTCAACTAACTACTTTTACTTTTTCTTCCTTTATGGGTCAACAAGGCTCAGTTGTTTCCCTGCTCCCATTAATATTTATTTCACAAAGGAGTGGTTACGCTTGAGTCACGAGATGTCTTGTGTTGTGATGGGAACAGGTGTTGGGATGGGAGCTTCCTGGGTGGCGCTGAGTCGGTGGCCTGTCCATGGATCAAACTCAAACATGAGCAACGGCTCTGACTCCAAACTGTTGTGATTGGTCTCTGTTCAGTTCAATGTGTAAAATAATTATAACTCTGAAGAGGAGCAAGTTTGCTGCTCAAAATGCTATGAAACTGTTCACATGCATACTTTTATGTTCTGTAAATAAACTGTTGATTAATAATAAAAAAAAAAGAAATATGTGATTCTTAAAGGGGGATAACCTCAAATTAGTTAGTTCAATGCTGTAATTTAAATGAATGAGTGAAATTTCCATTTTGAAAACCCAGAAGAGGATCTTTCCAAGCTTTTATTTTTGAAAGGTGTGAAAAATGATTTAACCATTTTAACATGTTTTAGTTAAAAATCTACACACTTCAGCACAGCGTCCATTGTTAAACTGGGTGTGTAAACACTAATCCACCACTAGAGCGAGTCACTGAACTGTGGATCCACAAATCTGGAACTAATGGAGAAGCCATGGCTTTAACTATCATGAACTCCTTCTCTCTGGAGGAATACAAAAATAAATTGCAATGCTCATATATAAAAAAACGGATTGTTTTTGGGGGGGATGTTATGTATTTTTTAAAGAAGAAATCTGTAAAAAAAAAAAAAAACTAAAATGCACTTTTTCAGAAAATTACAATATCACAAAAGGACAAAGTATTTGCTACATGGGAATAATCTGGCTTACACAAATGGAAATGCTGCTGAAACAACTAAAACTTAACAGAAAGTTGAGTGGAAGGAAAAACTCAGTTAAAGAATCAAAGAAAAACCCATTAAAAACAGTTTGTGGAGCATTCAAAAGGCATGGACTGAGCCGCCCCACACATTACCACCCAGAACACAGACTTTACTGCTGATTTCCTGTGTCATCTCTGAAGAATATTTAAAAACTTTTGAGGGATTTTTCCTAGATTAAGAAAAAAGAAGTCTGAACTGTTGCTCAGTGGTCTGAAGTTCCCATTTAAGATTAAAGTAAATTTTGCACTGTGGGGTACAGAGTCCAAATCGCCTCTGGACCAGTGTAAAGTTTTCAATCTGCCTTGTGAGAGGCCAGTGACTCGGCTACAGACAATAACTGAACCAGAACTTTGAATAGGACATATACAACCTGTTCCATAAAGTTAAAAGCAGAGAAATCAATAAGTATTCTTGGATTTCGATTGAGACAGAAAGTATTGTCGTGGTGCAAACTAACCAGTCAGATGTTAGGGTTTATTTCACAATGCAATGGTGACAGCTTTAATGGCGGACTGCGTAAATATTCAATAATTAAATACTGATAATATTGTTTACAGTTTTGCCACATAATACAAATTGAAATACTGATATCTATTTCCTGTGTTCTTTGTTTTGCATGATTTTTTTTTTTTTTTTTTTTGCTATCAAATATATCAACACATCAAATGTTTTCTAAATGATTTGACACTGAATTCGCTTCTATGGCAGACCCAAGAAGTGAACCCATAGATGAATTAAATAAATACATCAGCCCAGATTGTATCGATGTATGTTTTCGTGGGGGCAGAAAGTGCCATCACCTGTCATCCTAACATAGGCTACTTGGTAAGGGTTAATCTTGTGGAAGACCAACATGGAGGTCCGGTGGTAGGAGGCAACTTGTCTCTGTGTCGGGTCAGCTGGTACAGCAGCAGCAGCAGCAGCAGCTCCTCTCTGACAGATGTGATTGTTGAACCATGCGTGTTGACAGCGGCTATAAACCCACAGAGCAGATGCAGCGTGACTTCAGCCTCAGCGCAGAAATGAATAACCCGACAGCCCTGCTCGGAACTGGGACAATTTGAAGAGGAAGAACTGTTGCACCTCCCGAGTCACAATCGGGGTTTTGTTTTTGTTTTCTTTCTTCCCCGCCCTCACGCGCTCTATTGTTGCTTTAAGTGCCACCTGAAGAACAGAGCATTTATGATGAAATGCAAGGCCAACCAGACCAGGACGTACGACGGAGACGGCTTCAAGCGAAGAGCGGCGTGTTTGTGTTTGAGAAACGAGAAGGAGGACGAGGTAAGCTGCGTGGGTTTTCCACGGCCGAAGTTAGCGGTTCTCAGTGTTTATAGAGGTGAGGGAGGGGGGGCACTTTTTTTTTTGTTTGTTTTTTTTGCTGTAATCTGAACTCAAACCTAACACTGGCTTTCTTTATGGACGCGCAGCCCAGTCAGCTCGGTCCGCGTGCAGAGCAGAGGTGAGCTTTAATTGGCTGAGGGGGTCAAACGCTTGACCTATTAAACGACGTGGATTCTGAACAAGCCCAGCATCGAAACATTATCGAGGAAATCCACAAGGCTTGTATTTCAAAAAAGACAGCACGTCTTCAGTGTGTGGTCTGAGGCATTTACTCAGACATTTTTATTTAACTGCTGACAGACGCATTTCACAACCAGGTTCCTCCTATGTTAACACACCGCCTAACGAGTGCTGCCAATCTGAAGACCTTGCATCCGTATATATTTAGTTTTAAAGGTGGTTTGTTCTGTGTTTAGTTCATCTTCATTCACAGGGACTGGAGATACATGTTGCTCTTACTCTGTAAACTGTAAAATTGACTTTTTTCCCCTCTTTGTTTCAAACTAAAGCTTTTCTTCTTTAGGTGGTTTAGAATTGCCAAAAATATTTCTGTATGCTCGTTACTGGCTAGAATATTCAGGGGGTTATATTTATTTTTTTACTTTACACATTAAAAAGTTAAAAACTATATGTATTTGGCAGAATTTGGTAGAACCGCCTTTTTATGTTTACGGTGATATATTAAGTGTCCTTCCATAAGCTTTGCAATGGTTCGCTTGAATTTTTGTCCAATCCTTCTTGTGGAACTGGTGTAGCTGAGTCAGACTTGTAGTTCTTTACTCACACCCACGGTTAGTTTTGTTATAGCCATTTCAAGGCTGAATGGCCAGTTATCTTACCACTACTATGGTAAGTAAATTTTTATCTTAGTTCTTAACACTCAGACAAGATTATAATTCAGTGGAACATTGATGAACTCTACGTTCATCAATGCTGATTGTAAATGAGCTTTGTTAAGATGAGAAGAGCAATAAATATCAATATCTTCAAAATAAAGATAGTTAATTTGTTTGATATTTTGTCTTATGCTTCTATGAGGTTCTGACTGCAGTGATTTGCAGGGAAAGCCATTAATTACGTTCATCACTTTTATCGTTACCCCCAAAATGTTGTGGTCAGTGATGAATGTAGCCCATCTAGTGCAAGTCATTTACTTTTCTGTTCTAAATTGGACGCATCTGTAGGGTCAACGGCCATTTGGAGAATCTATTTCTGCCCAGGCTTCAACTTCCTCTCTAATATCTTAATATTTTGCTTCAATATTCACATAATCTTCTGTCCTCATGATGCCATCTGTTTTGTGACGTGCAGCAGTCCCTCATATGGTATGAGCAGCAATATCATATGATAGGATGCTCATGTCATCTGTGAATTCACAGATGGAATAGTGCAAATGCCTCCATGCTTCTTTCTTTCCTAACCGTCACAAAGGTCCTTAATGTCCAAACATTAACCTCTCAGTTTCATCGGACCACAGAAGTTATCCTCAAGAATTGAGACTTTTGCCCTTGAGTGCTTTGGCAGACTATTACTTGGGTTTTTGGAGTAATGGGTTGTTGTTGATGCAGGACTTGTTGCAGTGTGGTTAATGACTTTCGTACAGTGGAGTCCAGTCGCCGACATCATCCTGTAGGCTTCCCCAAATAAATAGAGAGAAATTCTTTAAAAGATTTTGAAATCTACATGTGTAAGAAATGCATTGAAACAATTTGAAGTTATCTTCCACTTGGTCAAAGTATGCATAACTATTTCAGCATTTGCTTTTTTCATATTTTCAGTGCCAACACACACCTGGCTCCTGGTGTGTTACCTGACATAAATTCTAGCATTCAGTTAGTTAACCTGCACAAATCCTCTTCAGATGGGCTATAGTGACTTGCGCAGCGGTAGACCTGTCCACTTACTCTGCTGAAGAAGGCTTACTGAGAAACTGATTCTACAATGTATTAAATCACACAAATACTGAATAATTTGATTATTAGCTAAACAGTTAGTTATTCATCCTTTTTTCTAACTAAAAACTATTTTAATGGCATTTTTGATTATTCCTTTAATACATTGTTAGTGTATTAATTTTTTTATTTCTTACTCAACTGTAGTACCTTGTGACCTTCATAGTTTTAGCATCATTTGGTGCAAATGGTCTGTCACCAGGCAAAAACCACAAGCAAATACTGATGCCAAAGAAAAATGACAATACCAAATTTACTTTGTTTTATTTTATCTGAAATTGTAATTTCCAGTAAATATTCCCCTAAATGTTATCATATTGGTGTAAATACCAGCTGTGAAAATCTGCATTTTAAATGCTAGAAGCAGACTTTGTAGAGTCTAGGTTAATTTGGCAATGGCTCCTGGTTAAGTAATCCTGCAGTTCTGTTTTTTTTTTTCTGTTCAAACTCCCCAAACCTTTCCATTTAACACGTGGAGGGTGTCAGTCAGCCTGGTGACGGCAGCAGTTTAAGGAGCACATGTGATAGGCAGAGTACGGAGCTGAGTGCCTGTTACAGTGTGCTCAACACCAAGTGACCCCTTAGGTGCAATTTATAGAAACAAGGTGCAGGCACTGATTGTACAGACAGATCTGCCAGCTCCTTGTGCTCATACCCCCTTTTCCACTGTCTGTACTGCTTTTCATCAAGGTCTCCGCTTCTCTTCTTTGGGGATTTGCTGCCATAAAGCTGTCAACAACCTTTGGTGCTGTTCAACATAGTGTGTTACCATTAAACCTTGAACAGGTTGTTGGTATTAAAGACAGTACGCTGAATTGCCCATCCTGTTTGTTTTGCTTATCTGGGATTGACTTGTGGAGGAAAGTGGTCAGACATCGCTCTCCATAAAAACACTCCGTTGGCTCAATTTAGGGAGTGTAAATCCAAAGCTCTGCATTTTGGCTCGTCTCTTATTGATTCAGCCCATCTCTCCATCGTCTGCTTCAAAGTACTGCCACTCTCCAATGACACTTTGAGATACTTGAATTCATCTTCTTTGCATGAAAGTCTTTGTAATCACTTTATTTAACAAGAATAGGTTTTAGTTCTTTCGCTTAGGGATGTGTTTTTGGTATTCTGCGGTTAGGTTAAAACATGCTACAATTGTGGGACATGGTAATAACTAATTATGAGTCATAAAAAATAAGTTTCATAAATGAGAAAATAAATCAGTTGGAACATTGTTCTCCCTTTTATTATTCTATTGATGCAATGTGTCACTGTGTCAATAGGAACACATTTGCTTTCACTGCTTCACAGATGACATTCGGGTCGAACTGCGTTTTAAATTTAGTGGCGTTATTCTATCGTAACTTTTCCCACATTAATTAATAATAAAACCTGGATTCAGGGGAAATTTCTTAATGTTAAAAGTAAAACATATCTCCAGCCATCTCCTGTGACAGTCACTCTCCTGTCAGGATCTTCGTGTAAGATGGAGTATTATTTCTCTTTTGAAAATCTAGAAAGTGATTAGTTCATATCACATTTAGACACTTAACTATCACCTTTATACTGATTTACATCTTTTTTTTCTATCCAACTCTTTATTTACAAGTCCTCCACAACTCTATAGCTCTTCTGTTAACTAAAAAGCAGGAACAAATACTGTTAAATAAATAAACAGCATTTTCTTCCCCACAGATTAATTTCTCTCCTCTTTTTGTTTTTTTCTTCTCTGTTGCACTGACATGTTTCAGGGATAAAATGTATTTTAAGATCAGGAAAAGAGAAACCAGAGAAAATGCAGTTTTCATATTTTATTTAATTTTTTAGTAGATTAAACTGTACAGGTCGCCCTGCGACAGACTGGCGACCTGTCCAGGGTGAACCCCGCCTCTCGCCCGAAACGTTCACTGTAGTTCGGCACCAGCACCCCTCCTGACCCCACTAGGGACAAGAGTCAATTGAAAATTGATGGATGGATGGATTAAACTTAATGCTGAATCCAGATTAATGGAAAAAAGTTAAGTCCCCCTTAACCTATCTACTGGATGTGCAACAACAACATCCTTTAGGTGTTTGTGAAAACTGGAAATGAATCTTTTATATTACTTTGGAAGAACTTAGTTAATTGGTCAGCCTCGTTGGACACTTTTTGAGCATACCGTCATGCCAGCACATCTTAATTGGTAAAAGTCTATAGATTGACTTCACTTCACCAAAAACCCTGTCTGATGTCTTTTTGAGCCATTCAGAGGTGAACTTGCTTGTGGACTGAGACAAGTCTGACCTGTAGTGGTTAAAATTCAAAAACCCACCAGATCAGAAGTTGTTTATGGATCTGTAAACTGTTGCATTGACTGGTGAAGTTCAGGCGAAGAACTGTTATTTTCTAGCCACTTTCTGACACATTTCACTGATTTGAATAGCAAATGTTCCTTTATATTTCCCATTTTGAAGAGTGGCCAAGGAAGCGGGCCTCTGTTGCTTAATGTCAATACGACATTGAAACAGGAAGTTGTGAGTTAATCATTAAAATTTTTCTTATCAACTTTAAAAAGTAAATATTGCCACCTTCCAAAATGATATTGTATAGTTTGCCTAAAACTTGTTTTGGAAAGAAAGAGGTGATGATTTTATTTTATTTTGACTTAGGCCATTATTACCATACCTTTAAAGACTGTTGACACTTTATTGAAGGGAAGCTGATGAATAGAATAGAATCCTCTGCATTTCTGGACCTATAATGGCATGGCTGACCTGAAATATTGTACATATTGATGTTATCTGACATTTTAAAACCTTCCCAAATTTTCCGCTGTTGCTGTAATGTGGCTCTCTGAGCTCCCTGTGATGTGTGCTGTGCCTGCTGGGGTCATTACCCTCCTCTGCTAAGCTTCTTGTTGTTTTCATACCAAAAGGCAACTGCTGATCCGGTGGGTTTTTGAAAAGCCTTGTCGCCTTTTCATACAGAACACGTGCGAGTGCCTACGTGTTCTGTATGGTGTTTCTGTGAGACTGCTTTTGAGGGTTACGTGTTTGTGTTGGAGAGCCAGCCGCGGCTGTTTCCACTGTCCCCAGAGAAGGGCTTTAATGGACTCTGGGATTCAGAGGAGAACCACCACCACTCTCATCCTCTGCACCGTTTAATTGCCTGCAATACCACACAAATGTTGCAAAAAGCACGATTAAGAGCTTACAGAAAATTGGTGCAGTATTTTAATACGTAAAGAACTGCTGTTTCACTTTGGTGTCTGTTTGCCCGACTGCTTAATTTTTGAACAAGTACTACATCTGTCAGGGTTTTCACAAACACAACGAATCACGATGGAAGACATTCCTGTTGATTCTTAATCACATGAGGAAGCTTGGTCAGATCAGAGGCATATTTCATCGTAAAGGAGAACGAGTGAAATAATTTTCTTAGGATTGTCAAACATGTTTTATACTTTGCCTGACACAATGTCACCTTGAAAACATCACCCCTCTGTAAAACATCTCGGAAAGCTTTTTTTTTTCTACAGTGGAGGGAAGGGTCAGGGAAGGTGATCAAAGTTGATTGGAAGAAAGTTGGAGATAAATTCAGAGCATTGTTAAAAAAAAGAGGCTGTAAAACACTGGAGAGAATGGGATGGAGGTGTGTGTGTGTCTGTCTTTGGGATACACATAGTTTTCAAGCCACAGAACTTTACATTCAGTCTGTCCTTTGTTTGTTCATCATTCTGTAGTTTGGCTCACCCACAAAAGTCAAAACAGATCATCCTGTAACAAACAATGAGGTCTGCAGAGAGGATCATCAGGGCTGAGCAGCTAACATCTCTGCAGAGCCGATGCATCCCCAATACGAACTGTTGGGACTTTTAACCAGACGTTGACTCCAAAAAGCGCAATTTGTAAAACCCAACAGAGACAGTTTCTTTTCTCCAGCTGTCCCTCTGATGAACAATTAACAGTCAGTGTCCATATAGTGCCCAGCAAGTGGATTAGAAACACAATTAAATATGAAGCACAGACTTAGTTGAAAGATTAACCTCCATCGTCTGTTAAAACTAATGTTATATTGAATTAAAAACTTAATTCAATGCACTGATAGAAAGCGGAAAATTTTTATTTTGTAAGTTTTGTTAAAGGTACACTGCAAAAATTAGGTCAGCAAATGATATAAAATGACACGAACCCTAAGAAAAGCAGCGCTAATAGTTAGATTAACAAAACAGTTTCTAAATAAAGTTCTGCAGCTTTATTTTCCTGGGGTTTTATTCCACAGTTATTTGCCGTAGTATCTGATCTCAACAAAATCGCAGACACCTCTACGCAGTTTGAAACCTCAGCTCGGACAGCTGACTTTTACTGGGTGTTAAAGGGCTAGTTTTTCGGAGCTGGTGTGTTGTCAGTTCCTGCCATCAAGGGCAGCTGTGCATGTTGTATGCTGGCGGCGGATGAGTTGACTGTGTATGTTTGGTTAGCTGAAGCCGGGATTACTCTTATGTGAACATTATGTGGGTCAGTTTGATGTTGGGTACAGCTAAAGGTGGGGTGACTCCATCAGAAGGACTTATCAGTCTTAAATCAGCTGAAAATAGCTTACACTACGCTCATACTTTTGACTTAACCTGTCAGAGTCTTATTTTGACAGTTGAACATAAGCTTCATTTACATTTTCAATCATGGTGAATCTGTGAGTAACTGGACTGAAATCATGGATGCTTCAATGCAGAAATAACCAACAAACACTCCATAAATCACAATTTGTTTTTAAATTCAGATCCCTCTTCATGTTACTTAAAATAATCACATAACCAGTATAAGCTGCTGGGGAAAGATACTGTTGGCTTCCATTATGTGGCAGACTCTGTAATTGAATGTGCTGTGTCCGGGTTGCTGTAGACCCTCTCTGCGCTCACTCCTCTGCAGGTGCTGCTGGTGAGCAGCAGCCGACATCCAGACCAATGGATTGTTCCCGGAGGAGGGATGGAGCCTGACGAGGAGCCCAGTGGTGCTGCTGTCAGGGAGGTGTACGAAGAGGTGAGTTTGCAACACAACAAACACCTCTCTCGTTTTTCTGGATCGTGTTGGTGTTACACGGCTGGCAGGTTAGGGTCCATAATGATGTCTTTCAGTGCGCTTCCATAGATTTAATGATTGGGACCATTGTTAGTTCTGATGCCTGGGAGGTTCTGGGTTCGAACCCCGCCTTTTGCTCAATAATACGTGCCAGCCTCTGTGACCCCTCACAGACAAGCAGGACTAGCAAATGGATAATTGTAAGAAATGTGATTTACATTTTAAATTGGTGCTCAAAAAGACTGGGAACGTCACAGAAGTATTTAAATTTTGACAAGAGAAATGAGTGGGAACTCTGGACTCGTTTACAAGTTCAAGTGGTTGATTTCTTTTTCTATATTTATTCCGATACTTTTGCAGTATCAGTAATTTATTTGAATAATAGAAAAGAATAGTCAAATAAAGTTCGATGATATCCAGCAGGAAGCCTTTCTAAATCACAATGCAGTGAGTGACAGTAACCTTAATTAAATGCGAAAAACCACTGGTATGATGCTGTAACATTCCACAAAGCCAGTCAAATTAAGCCCTTATTGTTTTAATTTCATCGATGTCATCATTTCTCATAGTCCGATATGGTCATATGATGACAGGAAACCCAGATGAGGGGAAGAAATATTTGGCAGTGCCGTGTAAATGTCCCATTAATGAGGTCTGTGGTTCTCTACAGTGGAGTGCTGGTCGTTTTCCAATATGTTTCACAGCAGAGCGAGCTGTGAACTTCTGCTGGGGCTCAGATGGTGCGCTGACAGCCTTGAAAGATGGCTGTGACATTTGGGTAGAGTTTCCAGTTACCCCAGTTACCCAGACGTTAAATATGACGTGCACATGGATATAGGCGGCTTGCACACTCACTACAATCATATAAGGGGAGATTTTCTATAAAAATATTTTCTCAAGCTTTTATTTAATGGTTAAACTAACATTACAAACATACTTAAGAGACTCTTCGAGCATAGTAGAATTATGTGAACATTCAATCATGACAAAAATGATCATCGCAAGTATGTTGCTGAAAACACATTTTTTGGACTTGAGGAAAAGTAAATGTATGGTCGTATTGCTGCACTCAGAGTGAACCGTTTTACACCAACTGACCTGCACATGTTTGCACCTGTTTTAATGTCCTCCGTTTCTATTGTGTTTAACATCACAGTGGAAGTTGATCTGGTTATTCTATGTTATAATTTGGTGAATGTTACAGGCAGCGTGTGCCACGAAGTGTTTCTTTATGTGTATAAACCACTGTGTTGGGAAAAATATATATGCAGGAACTCTATTCCCTGGTTATTTGAGGGAAACTGTTTCTCAATCATTTATAATCACTTATTCTGAATCCTAACAGGATTCCGTTCACCACTTTATTTATACCAACAATGAAAAAAAGAAGGTGCGTAATAGACAGTTGATCTCCTTTACCCACCTTACATTGTTCCGGTTCTAGCACACACTTAATTATTCAAAATATAAAATGGATTTCGTTCAGTGTTTCCTTTCAAAACAATGCAAGTCAGATTTCTTTAGATAGCAATTGAGTTGTTGTATAAAGATCTGCTTATTCAAAGCTGTTCTTCTTCCTGTGAGAAACGTAGACCAAATCATCTGTTTTTGCAACAGTGATTTCCTGACTTATCCCAGTTGTTCTAAAACGACAGAACGGATCTGTGCTACTATAAGCAAACAAAATGCTGGCCAGGAACTCCTGGAGAGCAGTTTTATTCTTATTTACAAAAAGATGAATGTGTGCTGTTCATACAGTGTTTCTAGCAGCTGTTCCTAATCTTGTTACTTTTGAGAACAAAAAGGTTGAGATGAAGCAGGTGAATTTGTGGCTCTCCTTCTGTGGTTGTGCTGTTCTCACTGAAACGCTTCAGTTTCTTTGTTTCTTAGATTATGGGGACGTAAATATGATTTCTACTACTGCATTTGCTGGAAGCAAGGGAAATGTTCAAACTAAATCACCATGGATCCCAAAACTTTACACACACCTGTTAAAAGACAAGTTTTTTGAAAAAAAAAAAAAAAGTACGTAATAAAATGTTTCAAAACCTTTTTCAACCTGTGATGTGGCATATATTCTGTACAAGTCAACTAAAAAATAAATTGGTGACAAAAAGAATACATCAAAGCCTTAAATAAAGCCTATGAATGAATGAAATCCCTCTTTAGCTTTGTCGCAGAAAGCTGAAGATTTTAAGTCAAAGCTGACTTATATGTGGTAAAGTTCATGATTATATTTATCTTGACAAAACCCCAGTTCCATCTGAAGAAAGTGTGTATTTGGGAATTAAGGCCAAGCCTGCAGGCTGCACATCATCAATTGGTTTTACTATTGATTTCTTCTCTGATATACACCACCATCTGTTTGAGCTGTTGGAAAGTGTGTCCTTTTTCAAATGATGTCCATTCATCTAAAATACGCATAGACGTCAGGAAAGTCGCAGATGTCTATGTTCCAAAATGTTCAGATTTTTGTCTAGAACTGCTTATAGGATGATGGAAGAGTAACCACAGTTTTAGAGAAGAAGAGATATGAAAACATTTTGGTGACACTGTAAGTTGCCTATCTGCAGAGAAAATGAATCGGTTATAATGGCGGCAGACCAAAGTTAACTGCTGGCAAACTATTCAGGATATTTTGCAAGTTTAAATAGAAATGCACCTGTTTTCATGTCTACTCCATTAAGCTGTCTCAACGACATGTGACTCCTTCTGACTTACATGCGAAAACAAGCTGTTCTTTCCTGGCCACACACTTTTTTTTTGTCCTGCTCAATCTGTAAAGTAGCAGCCATGTTACAGACAGTTGTTGAATAAAATGCATCCACAGTAAATCAAATATAATTGACAATGATACTGAAAAATATTCCCAACCTTTAATGGACTTTTTTTTTTTTTCCATTTCAGGCTGGTGTGAAGGGAAAACTTGGCAGACTTCTTGGGATATTTGAGGTAAGGCTATCAACTGCCTTGCATTGTTACTTTAACCTTAGATTCCAACAAATCACTCTGCAGGAAATCCTGCAAAATGCCCTGTCATCATGTCCAGAACAGTGCACATGGTAAACTGATTCAGATAAAATCATTCACAGACTGTGTTCGCAGAGTTGAAATAAAAGCTGATAATTTATTTTCTCTTCCTATTCAGCAGCACAATCAAGACAGAAAGCACAGGACGTACGTCTACACTCTAATTGTAACAGAAACACTGGAGGACTGGGAGGACTCTGTTAACATCGGTATACTTCAATTTTAATTCCCTGTTTGTCACGTCATAGAATACATTATAATAAAAAAAATATTGACTGAATTTCTATTTTGTATTAACATTTCATAAAGTCGGGTTTTCCTTGCATAAATAAATTCAGTGCAAGTTCAATTTGCTCCAGAATTACTTGCAGATTTTGTGCAGTTTTGCAGAGTGGCAGCCGAGGACTTATTCCGAAGCTAATATTTGGAAATTATGCAGCTGCATTTTGCTTGGGTAGGCTTTGCCAAAGAAAACATCCTGACACTTGTAAAGGGATACGTAGACACTCTGATGTTGTAACAATCAGGATTAAGATCGTTTTGGGGAGTCCTGCAGGGTTTCTTGTGGCATTTGCATAAAAGTGGAGACAGAGAAGCATGTATGCAGATTTCCTGCTGTGGTTGATCTCTATATCTGATGCCAAATTTATTTTATTTCCTCTCTAAGAAAAGGAAGCATGTATTATACATATTTCATTTACAGCAGATTGTTGCTGTTGAAATTGTGATAAATGTTCATTGCAAAACCTTCATAAGACCAAGAACTTTTAATAATGTTTTCATTGTCAATAGAAAAAGGCGGCAAGTGTGAAAAATATTCCGATGCAAATATCGGAAATATGTTCAACATAAGCACTAGTTGAATTTTTAGTCACATGCGTTTGGTGACCACCTGTAAGATGTGTTAAATGATTTGGACAAAGACTCTGCATTATGAATATTTTTCTTTTCCTTTAGACAAAGCAAATCTGAGCACAAAAGATGTGGATATTAACTGGTTTTGTTTAATACCCCATGACATTATTGCATATCTGTCACAAAAGATGACATTCGCTGGGGCAGAAACTGTACTTTAGTTCTCCCTTGGACCAATTTCATGTTTCTACCTTCACAGTTTTCACTTAAAATTAAGATGTTGTATTTTTAGCTTCAGCCATTTTAAGGTAGGATCACAGTTTTTAATCAGCTTGATCATTAAGTCTTGATACCTGCAGCTCTTGAGCAACAAGTGTCTCTATTTTAACTGTTTACATAACAGTTTTTTCTTCTGTTTTTGATTTTATTCTTTTGTACTATATTGCCATGGAAAACCCCAGCCCCTCTGGTAAAGTTGGTCTAGACCCACCACTGACTCAGCTTACAATTATGTAACCTCTTGGTTGCATAAACTGTGTATAGATCAGCAAATGTTTAGTCCAGAATGGTCAGGAGATTATAAAGTTTGGAAAAAGGGGGAAAAAATAAGATGATACACTCACTAGAAAAAGTAGTCAATTTTACAACATTTATCCCAGTTCACACAATATAACGCAGTAGATAGTCAGAAACGCTAAAAGTTGCAAACATTTTTGGGTTGACATACATTTTATTTGGTTTATGCCAAATTGCTTTGGAAACTTTCTTTTGTTCGGTTTTGATGAACTTTTGCTCTCTTTGGCCAACCAAAAGTGAGCAATTTTCTCCTCTCACCACACTGTATAATTACGGTCTCTCCGCCTTCTGCGTCAAATAAAATGAAAGGACCTTTTGTGTTTATTTTCTCCCACGCAATGTTTTCTGTTTACATGTGTTTTATACTCACTGAGCTCTAAAAACTGTAATTGAAATATACTTTAGTCAATTTTCAGAAAACAAAATCAGAAGTTATAGATCTTGCTATAACTTCTGGAGCTTCTGGAGCATTCACACAGTCAGCAGAACCTGCTATAATTAGAGAACGTTGCAGAAAGGCTGGACTTACAATGCTCCACAATAGCTATACATTGAAGTTCAGCAGCTGCAGGAAGGAAAAGTTAGAGCAGCTAAACTCCGTCTGCTTTGGTTACAGTTCTCATGCAAGAGCATAGAGCTGGCTGCGGTGAGTGATAACTGGAAAACAACTGGGCACCCCAAACATTCCTGCCCCCCCATCGCTCCCCATTAACAGGCTGAGTCTATTTCTGTGGATGAATGGAGTAAACAATCACAGGCACCTTTAACAGGAGTAGTTAGAAATTATTGTTATGACGAGCTATTCTATTGTTGAGAGACAGGATACATTTCAAATATCAAACACCTTTAAAATAACTGGGGGCATGTTTTTTTTTTTTAATGTAATTTACATAACGTAGTCACACTCAAACTTTTCACTCTACTTGTTTTTCCTTCTTCTTCCTTTCCACAGGTAGGAAGAGGAAGTGGTTCAAGGTGGAGGATGCCATCAGGGTGCTGCAGAGCCACAAGCCTGTCCACGCAGAGTACCTCTGCAGACTCGCAGACACCTGCAGCCCTCCCTACGGGCCTGTGTGTTGCCCCCGAACGATGGACAGCAAGGCCCCTCACTATGTCGTTTGCTCAACGCAGGACTCAGAGCTCTTCAACAGATAGGCCTTGCAGCTGAAACTTCCTCTAGAGGACACTGATGGACTATACTGGAGCATTGGTTGCTTTATGAACACAGGTTTTTCACTCGAACAATTTTAATTTTGAAGAAATTAATTTAAAAAAGAGAACTTAGTAGCCCTTATAAAGTGCTGTGATGCTTTCTAGGTGTATTTTTGGATCTTTAAAGCAAAAGTTAGCAGACAGATTAAATGCATTCCCCTTTAGGGGTTCAGTTACTGTGAAGTAAAGTTCTTACCGGGGTCTTACATGTTTGACCTCAGTGTTCCCAGTATGTTGGTGGTTTCCAGAAGACTGAAACTGGGAAATGTTGGCCTTAAGAGGAAGCTCTGTTCCCACTCTGACTCACTGCCAAATAATTTCCTGTTGCAAGAGAAGGTAGCAGCCACAAGAGTGTGAATGTTTTAGAACAATTTTATGCATTTTTCCCTCCTGACACTCTAGATAGAGTTTTCTTCTTATGAGTTGGTTTAAAGTTAGCTTTGTTGCAATAATTGAGTCACCTGTTGCAACAGGCAGGGTTGTTAGTACTCTGTTTAGAACCTGAGAAATTGCCTTAAATAGCATTGAGATATTATTTATATATATATGCACATATATAATGAGCAACAATGAGGTAAAGACGAATAAAGTTTACTCACTGGATAAAATAATGTTAAGTATCATGATGCCTTAGCAAGGATCCCCAGAAGGAAAACAGGCCCACAACGTCTCAGATCACCCAATATATGGAACAGTGGCCTTAAGATGTTTTTCCACACATTCAACCTTTGTTTTACACCATTAACTTGTTGTGGTCAAAAAGATCAATCTTACTTTAATCTGACCAAAGCACACAGTTCAGGTTAAAGTCCCTGTAGCACATGGCAACCTCTGCATGTGTGATGACGGAAAAGGTTTTTATGGCATGTTTCCCCAGCCCTCGGTTGCCATGTCTAAAGCGTCTAATTGTTGTGATGAAGTACTTCGGTGACACCAAGATGCCATTGTTTTCTGCAGGTCTCTAGTATTGTGCCTCAAATTTGTGCTTTTCCCTCACTGCCCTGCTTACTGTTCATTATGTCAAAATAAATGATCCTTTTCCAGCCTTGTTTGTTACAGTTGTAATTGTTTAAATCATTTTAATCATAACCCTTGACTTTGCCTACTATATCAAATATTTCTTGTGTCTATAACATGACTTAGTAAGATGAACACACATCTGACCTGGCATGATGACATTATTTTTCTGTATTTTGACAGGTGGCTTAGAGAAACTACCAACTGTGCTCTAGGGGAACAGAAGGTGTTGGACTAAAGTCCTAGAAAATCTGATCAACGTAAAAAAATAAAATAAAGTAAAACATAGGTTTGAGAAAACCTTCTGGTCACATTAATTTTATAGGGATTGCCCAGCTGTGTGCCACTGGCAGTTTTGTTAAAAACAACACTTGCTTGATGTAATGTTTTAATCTAAATTCTCCTGATCAGCAGTAATTTACATTAGACCAACTCCAAGCTACAATACAACTATTGCAGTAAGAGTATTTTCACTTTTAGCACAAATAATCAAGGTCAGGACAAGTAGGAAAATAAACCTATGAGACTTTATTATAATTATTCTTGCAGCTCAAGGGTATCAAACATAAAACTGTTGTTTGGCTCGTTTTTCAACCTTTAATGGATCCTAGTTTTTTTAAAAAGTGTATTGTAGTTGCATAATTTCCTCAAAATGAGTGGTGGGTGTAATGAGATTAACAAAAGCATATTTTCATTAAAATGATCTGTTTCTTGTGTCTGAGCTCATATTTCATAATTGTGATGATGGGTTTAGCTGGCAGTGGGCCTCCCAAATGGAATAAATGGAATAAACATTTCTGCTAAGGACCCCATAAAATCTTGAGTTGCCCTGTTGTTACTAGTAACTGCATCAGAAGTGAGAAGGAAACTAACTGGGGCAGAATTTTTTAAAGTTTTTTTGTTTTTTAGGATACCTTAACTTAAACATTTATTGGCTCTTGTGTTTAAGTTTTTAAAAAATGCGTAAGAGTTGAATATTTGTAGAGTATTGTACTCTGTTTGATCATTTATGTGTCCAGTCTTGTCAATGGAGCAGAACATGACAGCTCAGTGTGGAGCAGCCACGGTGAACCATCCCCTCCACGACCCGCCCATCCGCCGCTTCTCCCTCAGCCTGGTCAGGTGTTCGTTTGTTTCCACACGAAAACTTTGCATTTTGGTAAACTGATCAGCTTCTGTGTCGTGACAAACCCAATCCAGGACATGTTGAGACGGATACTTCAAATGGTAAGCCTCTGTGAAGTTAATCAATCGGGATCGCTTTTGTTTTGAGCATAGCGGCTCGTTTTCCCTGGAAGACGCAGGCCCATCTGTGTCTGGTTTCTTGATGGGTGCGCGTGTTTAGTGAAATGACGTACCGCTGAGGGGCGGGGCTTGTGTGTTGTTTATTGGTTCGTGGATATCTTGTCCGGAGTCCTTCTCAATCTCGTCACGTCGGGGTGGAAACATCAAGCGCTCCTTCCATTTAGATGACACAGCTAGCCATTAGCGCATGCTAAGCTGTTATAGTTGAATGATTGTACTGTTGACAGTAATGAAAATAGGTTCTCCGAACAAAACACAGAGTTATTCGGCTCTATTACAGACATTAGAAATCAGTAAGATGAAAAAGGGACGGTTAATGTTAATACCAAGGCTTAGTTAGCGGTGGTTTAATTCATCAGATGCTAACGCTATCGTTAGCTACAGGCGTTGAAGAAATGCTCTATGAGCATGCAAACAGGCGCTTTAGGTGACCAGCCTTATGAATGTTTGTATAAACAAACTATATGCTTGGCAGTAGAGTGACTTGTTGGACTAACGTACTAAATCGAGCTGAAAAGCTTTCGCATGGGACCACATTAACCACAATGCATTGCTACCCGCATTGTGTACACTTGGAGCACATGACTCCCCGACTTAAACTGTTCAGCCATAACTTTACGACAAGTGACAGGTAAAGCGAAAAGTATGTTATAGTGACACAAGTTGGATCGACATGTGGGGCGTAAACAATATGAAGCTGTATAGTACTGCAGGCAGTGGTCTACTTGGATATTGTTCCATAAATGTGGTTTTAATCTGTTCTCTACGACACGGAAGTTATATTTCCTGATGACTCTTGCATTGTTCTGCAGGAAAATAAAACCTGTCACTGAACACACAACCCTGTAGATTGCTTTAGTATTAGAACGTGTTCAAATAACACGGTATTTATCACAATGTAAACAACAAAAAAAAAAAAAAAACACAACATGCTCTTTTTGTTTTTATTTTTAAAGAAAACGTAATAGCCTACTCCTGCTGCTAAACAAGTAATAAATCATGAAATTATACCGTTTTCCATTGTGGGTCTAATGGAGTAACACTGAGACTCTTAACAAGCTTTAAACAGAATTTGTTCAAGTTCCAGCTGACCAGCAGTCTGCAGGAACAGATTGTGGAGTGAGGTTGTGCTGCCTCCATAGAGCCAGCAAACACTGGTCACTTCTGTACTTTTTCTGGATAAAACTACAAATTTCAAGGTTACCTTTTAAAACCATGCTTTGGATTGTTACTGGTAACCGGCTTGCTCCTATCCACCACTCAGACAAATCTCAGGCTTGGTTTAAAAACTATAAACACAGGTCTAAAGTATACACCTGACCTTTAAATTCTCCAGATTACATTCCAGACCAGCTTAAATAGCACGCAAGTGGGATGTGATGTGATTAAGAAGTGAGTCCGGTCCATTGAGACCTAACAATGTAATTTCCTTGAATCAAGGCATCTGCTGCTGATGGCTGGGCGCCTCAGGCCATTTAGCACTAAAGTACAACTCTGTTTTGAAGAAGTAATAAACTCAGTATTAGGTTGTATTTTTGAGGCTGGTTGAAGCCTTCTCATTATTTAGAAAAAAAAAAATCTCTTTCCTTCCTTGAGAAAGTATTCACACCCATGTCAGTCACATGTGTTCATATGTAATTTTTTGCTCTTCAATCCAAGTAAAATCCTCTGAGTCTGCAACAAATGCTTCATTTAGCCAGAGAAAAGATATTACTCCACCAGAAGTTATCTAAACACACAAGCATTGCAACAGTTTAATGGTTTAGATCAAAGCACATCCTATAAAAGAACAGCACAGTCAAAGGCCAGATCAAGGTCTAATTGAGAATCTGTGGCAAGACTAGAAAGATTGTTGGTGATTCATAGTGATTTAAATATGACTAACCTGTTTTTCCTGATCTTTAGGATGCTGTTTGTTTTCTAAACCTTTGAGGCTTTTCACAGCAGAGCTGGATTAATACTAAGATTAAATTACAGAAGGCACCAGTGGTGTCCTCTTAGTGAAATGTAATTTTTAAAATTTTTTTCTATTCCTGCACTATTTCTAAACCAAATAGTTACTTTAAACTTTTTAACTGGAACCCAACATGTCAGAGCAATAATGTCTGATCAGTCTGGCAATGTCAAGTCAATTTGTCAGGCGACTAAACGATACTGTAGTTTCATTATTGCCACATGTCACTGCTTTCTGACCTTTGGTCACAACTTCCACCACCTATAAGTGATATTGCTCCATGTTAAACGTTTTATGGGTGTATTGGGCTAAAAATGTTCATCAATACATCCCAGAATCAAATTCTATTTTATGACATTGAGTTAACGGTAGTAAAACCTCAAATATTTGATAAGTGGTGTTTTAGATTTGCTGATGACAGTGTTGTGAGGCTGTAAGCTTGTTGTTTGTTTGATCTGGGTCAAAGGTTGTTCCGTGACGCAAAACTTCAGACAAATTGTCGCTTCTTCAGTCGGCTCCGAACGAGGCTTAACATGCACGATGTATATCACACAGACCTCATTCGTTAATGTATTCATTTCCCAACAAAATCCTATTTTAGTACTGAAACTCAGATAGAAAATTGCAACAGACTCAAATGACCCTGATTAAAAATGCATAGTTTAATTGGAATATCTCTCACTTTTGGATTAAACTCAGCAGCCTAATTTAGGATGATTAATTTCCACCCAAATGCCCAGAAGAAATATAAATCTACTAAAATGATAAAAATGTTGTTGATGTTGTTTGCGGAGTTGGAAATTATCATCTTCTTCCTGAGTCTACAATTTGTGGTTTGGACCCAAACTGCTCTTCTTTTGCAGCACTGTGAGCTGACAACGTTTGAGCAGAAATGCATCCTCAGAGCATTGTCAGTATTTACAGACTTCATTGTGAAAACATCTAAAGCAGACCATTGTGGCACAATAGTGTTAAAAATAGAAAATTCCATTTAAATTTTAAATATTCCCTGGATCCAACATTTTACTCTGTGAAATTCCTCAAAATGAAAATAGAAAAATCAAAGCAGTAGGTCTTCATGGAAGGGGCGGAGATGTCAGCTCCACTCTCATTGGTCCCTTTTGTAAAAATGTGTAAAAGCTTGAGATTTTCCCCCTTGATTATTAAATCTCAATATGTGAGGCGACAAAATAAACTCAAATCTCCGCCCGGCACTGTTCATCAAAGTTCCTTTTGCCTTTAAATCTCTTAATTATGTTCTCTTGTGTTTCTCGTTTTGGGATGAAGGGAACAGTTGTCTTGCAATCAAAAAGTGTTCAGTTTGAATCCAGCTTAGCAGCTTCTTGTCAAGAGACTCAACCTGGAGTTGCTTTGATGCGTCGGTATGAATAGAAAAAGCCTCTGACTCCATTTATCTAGCAGCATTCAACACATCTGTGTTATACTCCGGGAAATAAACATGGATTACTAATTAAAAGTTTGCAGGAACTCAGTTCATTGGAGAAGGTGAACGATTAACTATAAAAATGGCTGCTGAGGGTGAACATATATATGTGTAGATTTTATTGTAAAAGGTGATTGCTGTGGGGACACTGCAGCTCTTCTCTGTGTCAGTCAGGTGGTTAAATAAGTAGCATTTATATTAATTCACTCTAGTCAAAGTGTGCATTGTCGTCTGCAGACTCCTGGGAAGGGAGGCTCCCAGAATGCAGAGTCGGAGAAGCCCACCACTGACCTGAACCACGACCAGACGTCTGAGGTAACGTTTTCCCAACATAATGCTGGACCCAAAACTTGCTGAACGGCCCTGGTGTGACGTTTTTAGAGTGTGATGACGTGTTTCTGTCTCCAGGGCTTCATCTGTCCTCAGTGCATGAAGTCTCACAACTCTGCAGACGAACTCTTCAAACACTATGAGCTGTTCCACGACACTGGAGACCTCCCTGCTCATGTGGCTCCCACGCGGTAAAGCTAGTTTTAACATCTGGCAAAAGTATTCATGCTTCCTAAACCTTTTCACAATTTGTCCTTCTCAAGATATTTTTTATTTTGTTGGTATTTTATGCGCCCTGCGACTGACTTGTCCAGGGTGAACCCTGCCTCTTGCCCAGAATGCTAGCTGGAGAGGCACCAGCACCTCCCGACCCCACTAAGAACAAGGGTGTTAGAAAATGGATGGTATTTTATGTGATAGATCCACACAAAGTAGTGTATAATTATGAAATGTCGGGGAAAAAAAAAATGCACGTTTTTTAAGAAAAGTATGGCATACCTTTATTTACTCTGATACTCCTAAATTAAAGCCAGTGCATCCAGTTGCCTTGGTTTGTAATTTAATTGGGAAATTGACTTGAGATGCATGTAATTTAATGTTTATATACGAGGGAAGCCATATACAGTACTGTGTAGTATTCACACCCCTTGAACTATTTCAGATTAACGCAGAGTAGCCAGAGTTTTTATTCAGTGAATGAACCAAAGAAGAGCACATTGTGAAATGGAAGAAGTGATTCATTATTTTCCAAAATTTTTTACTTTTAAAAATGTGTGGCAGTAAATGAACACTGCACATCACCCAGAGAACACCGTCTCCACTGTGAAACGCAGCAGTGGCAGCATCATGCTGTGGGCCGCCACCGCCACACTGGAACAGTTTGAATCAAAGCTCAATTTTCATTCGTCTACCATATAAAATACATTCAAAGTTCATGGATGTTATGCGAAAACATATGTTATGGAAAAGGTCAGGATGTCTGAACGCTCTTGCGTGATACAGTAAGGTCACGCATCCGCAGCTGACCTCCCTGTGGCAGAACGTTGCCCTGATCCGTCTCTTTCCTCCCTTTAGTGAAGACCTCACCATGTTGCGGCAGGAGGTTCAGGATCTCCACGCTTCTCTCAAGGTGAGGTTGAAGTTTCAAAGTAGTGAGTGTCGCAGACCTGTGAGAACATCTGCTGTACGATCTACTTTTGTCCTCTTTCTTTTATCAGGAGGAGAGATGGTTCTCTGGAGAACTAAAGAAAGAATTGGACAAAGTTCAAGGACAACTGAAGCAAGTAAATCCTTTCAGACATTTAGCATAATACAGTAAAGCACTGGCCCTCTGAATACACAACTGTGTGATCAGTAAAGATGCTTTCCTTTGTCTTTCTGCTCCACAGAACGATGGGCCGATAAGCGCCGAGGATTCAGGTGGTGAAAGAAAGAACATGGTCAAAGAACATGCTGAGATCGAGTTTTCAGTCATTTGTCGCTAACATGCTGGATGTTTTTCTTCCTCAGCCCTCGAAAGAAAGTTAGTGGAAGCAGAGACGGAGAAGTTCAACATTAAGCAGATGAAAGATCTGTTTGAGCAGAAGGCGGCGCAGCTGGCCACGGAGATAGTAGGTCAGTGTGGGACTGGGAGACTGTGAGGTCAGAGTCTGGGGGTCAGCTAACAAGCTGAAGTTCTGTTTTACTCGACCGCTGTCAATCTCAAAGCTGCCTTTGTGTTGTGTCCACATTTTCTTGAAAACTGTGTGGACATTTTGCTTCCTTTCAAAAAAAAAGTCTTTTCGTTGAGTTTTTTTGAACACGCACTAAAATACAAGTTTCAGTCTTACAAATAAATAAATTGAAGTATTTCCTAAAATAATAATAATAATAAAATGTGTGGATACAACCATTCATCTTGTTGAAATAGTATGTGAAAGATTGCCATATCATATACCTCTCTTCTTTGTCTTTCATCTCCAGCTTTACCTTTTCTAGATGAATGTGTTTCATCATATGCTCTTGACACATTTTACTACTTTTTAAAAGTTGTTTGAAGGCATTTAATTGTTTGATTTCTGAAAAACATCGAATCTGTTAGACCTGAAGTCTCGTTATGACGAGGAGAAAAGCCTGCGGGAGGCTGCCGATCAGAGGGTTTCCAGTTTGAGCGAACAGCTGCAGAGGGAGAACCAGGAGAACGAGAGACTCCAAACAGAATTGGTGAACACACAAAACTCCTTCTTTTCAGCTTTTGCTTCCAGCCCAGCAGCTCTGATATTCCTCTGTCGGCCTCCTGTGTGACCCGGCGTCTCCGCTCTGCCCCCTAGCTGCAGCGGCCGGGAGTGGAGGACGTGGAGGTTCTTCAGAAGGAGCTGGTCCAGGTGCAGACGCTTATGGACAGCATGACCCGTGAGCGGGAGGAAGAGTCTGAGCGCCTCAAAAGCCACTACACAGAGCTGCAGGCTAACTACACTACCTCAGAGGTTTGGGCGCTAAAACACCACTGCTCACCATCTTCACTTTTTCAGGGAGAGCTTCACATTTCTACCCAGAAAGGGCTGTGAAGTTATTACATCGTATACTACTGCCCCGCACATTTTGCAGCTCTTAATTCCCGCCTCGTGAATAATTCAGGGATTTCTTTCCCCAGCATTCTGGAGCAGAGGGGTATTTATAGCTCCATCATGTAGCTTCAGGCTCTGAATCCTTTTTTTCCCTCAACTATCGGTTCTATTTTTACCCAAGAACCATATTCTGAATAGATTTTCTCTTTGTCGTGATTAACATCTCAGTCATGTTGACGGCTGCATATTGAACCCGTTTTTAGCAGCGAGCGGCGCCTGTTGAGCACATTGAGCTGAGAAATGGCCAACGATACTTTTTATGATGCAAAACTCAAAGATTGACAAATTGTGTCCTGGTACAATGATGAGTTTATATACACTCATTGACCTGAATGTAATATCAATTTTACACTTTTACGAATGCATTCAAACAGCTAAATAACAAGTAATCTCAATGAGTTTTTGAAACAACAGAATATGAATGGTTTAATGTTAAACAAAGAGGAATTTGTGTTTCGTATGCACAAATCATTAAAAAGGCCAAAACAAGCGCATTAAACCCCTTTTGTGTCAAATACTCCCTTATTTCCATCAGTTTACAAACTATTTGTCCTCCTGAAACTGAAGCTTGCTGTTGTTTTTTTTTCCTGACTTACCTTCTGTCCTCATGTCTCCTTCCCTTCCCTCCTTCCTGTGCCTCTCACTCACTCTATCCCTTCGATACACAAGATTCAAAAACTGGAGGTAAAACCGGTCGATTTAAGTCGGGTCACCTATTTAATTTCACCTTTTAGGAGTTTTCCTTTTCGAATGCAGATTTTTCTGTTGTCCAAGCAGTGTGAAATTTCTTTTCAAGCATTTTTTTTGTGCTACCATTTGCTTTTAATTGCTTTGCGTTTAATTTTCTCCATCCCTTCTTCGCTGTAGTTTATTGAATACACGCTTAAGGACTTTTGGCAAGACTCTTACCACAGGTCTGCTGATGTGCAGGTGACCATATCCCAACTAAAAGCCGAGCTGGAGAAGGGTCCACAGGAAGCTGCTGTCTACACGCAACAAATCCACGAGCTGCAGGGAAATCTCAATAATTTGCAGCAACAATGTCAGGTAATATTTACACAGCAGCGTAAGGAAACAGCCATTACAGTCACGTGATCCTGAACAAACAGCTGCTACTGAAAATGTGTGGGATTTTATTTTTCCACCCGTTACTCTCACGAGCTTTACCAGCAGCCATCTTGTTCTCTGTGAGCCTCCCTTTCTGCAACTCAATGTCGAGGTGTCACTATCCACCTTTAGCAACAGATACTTGCTGACAAATATTACAGTGAGCACTATTATTAAACCAGCAGGGGGTGATGGTTGGTTGCCATCCTTGTCACTCAGTGTGAAATATAACCGCAGGCAGGTAATGTGACTGGTGCAATGGGAGGAGAAGAACGTAGCGCAGAGATTAAAGTGTCACTCATCGGGTTCAGATGTGGTCTCACGGCAGGCAGAGAAGGTGTTTGTTTACAGATAGCAGAGAGATTACAGTGGTGGATCCTCCAGTCTGGTGCCCAGTTTCTACTGACAGTACATAGGTTTGTTAGAGGCCAGTTGAGCAACCATCAGAGAGTTAATTGGTGTCTAAATCTAACCTTGAGAAAAGGAGACACACCAAAGCAGACTTTAAGAGATTAACTAAAGATGAGGGTTGAAAAAAAAAAGGAAAGCGCAAGTGTCCGTTCGACTTGTTGGATTTCTCCTGCTGAATCCATGTGTCCTCTTGCAGTCTGAGGCTGGCCGCCCACGTCGTCGTCAGCAGCGTTTCGTTCTCTATGACTCTGTTATCGAGCTTGCTGCCAGAACCCGGGCCGTGAAAAGAGCCGCACTTCAGTCCGGCGTCATGACTGTTCCTTTCCGTTGCTCCTATCGCACAGGCTGTGGGAGTTCACGAGGCGCCGCATCAAAGTGTTTTAACTATACATGTTTTTCTTTTGGCATGTTTCTTGTTTGCATAAGTATGATAAAATAGAATGGTGTATTTATAAATATCCCTGTTTCCTCCTTCCAAAATATTAAAATCTGCCATCCTCCTTTTAATGCCACAATGTTATTTCGTTTAGCTGCTTGTTAGTTTGAAGGTTTTCACATCGCTGTATGTGTTTGTATGTAACACATACAGTGCTATATACAGGTTGACAAATGGGGTGAGGTTATCTCAGGATACTGAAGCAAGGGAAAACATCTCATTATCTCAGCATGTAGTGAGATACTGAACCTGTTTTCACTAAATCAAGCTCTTGTTATCCCGACAAGTCAATCTTAACATCTTGATATAGGATGATATTTAGATAGATGGGTAACTACATTACCCTCCAAAAAGAAAACAAACTCAGTCTCATTACTTTTCTGTAGATGTTTGCTAAATGTATTTTGACAAGACAAGAACTCATGACTTTGTCATTGTGATATAGTCACAATTATCTGACTGTATCAACAAGCTCATGGTCTTGTTTTCTTTATACGACAAGTTTGTGTAAAAAACATAAAACAAAAGTCAAAGTTGAGATTTAATAATAGGAGAAGTATGACGACGTGATCTCAAGACCTCACTTCTCAATGTATTTGAAACCGTTTCCAGGACAACAGAGGCACAAAATGTCTTTATCCTGATTTGAAGTTATTATAAAACTCAACAAAACAAGCTCAAGATTTTGTCTTCCCCTGATAAGGAAACCAACCATCTGTATTAAGACAATATGATAAAAACAAGATGAATGAAATATTGGTTTCTGAGTTGCATTCTGACAGTTTATAAGCTTTTAATGCTTATAGAAACAATAACACTAAATAGATGCACAATGAACACCTTTTGTTCTTGCATGTCAGAAACTGCCTGACTATTGTATGAAATAGGTGAGATTTGTTGGGGAAACAGGAAATGTGTAGTAACTGTGAATAAAAGACACTGTGACATCATTCCTGTCAGGCCAACCACAAGAAACAGTCTTACTTATCTTTCTCCTCAGAAGGCTCATAACAACGTATTCTGGTTTTTTTTTCCCCTAGAGTCTCTCTGAGAAACTTGTGCGTAAGGAGAAGGAGCTTCAAGAAGCGGCGGATGCTCTGGGAGCCGAGAAAGCCGCCAAGAAGGGCGTCCAGGACAGCCTGAGGGAGCGGGACTCTGAGGTCCAGGAGCTCCAGGCTCGAGCCGCTGGGGCCGAAGCGTCCCTTCAGAAGGCCCAGGCTGAGCTGGCGGAGAGGGCCGAGGAGGCGGCCAAGCTCAGGAGCGAGATAGTAGAGCTGGAGGTGAAACACGCAGAGCTGAAGGTGGAGAGGAAGCAGCTGGAGCATCAGAAGGAGGAAAAAGAAAGCCAAGGTGCCCAGCAGCAGACAGAGATCAGCCAGGTGAGATCGATAGCGTGGAGACAGATAAAACAAAAAACAACCGAGTCATTTGGGTCAAAGCTCAAGCTCAGCTCGCACTCGTTAATCGTCTTGTCTTATATGTTGAGACAGAGTCACTTTTATCGAATCGGACTACATTACTGTACAAACTCAGTGATTGAGTCACAGTTACGCAGAATAAAAAGACTCAGGTTCTAGAGGTGCAAGTATGTTTTTCTCTCCATTTCTAATCTTTCTGTCTTGTGTTTTCACACTTCCTGGTGCCCCTGCAGCTGCATGCCAAACTGCTGGAGGCCGAACGGCAGGTAGGCGAGCTGCAGGGCCGTCTGAAGGAGCAGAGGCAGCTGTCTGGAGAGAAACTGAAGGACAGAGAGCAGCAAGCGGCCGACCTCCAGTTCAAACTCTCCCGAACTGAAGAACAGGTAGGAATGTGAAACTTTCCCACAAGATTTATCCTTATTAGTCGATCAGGGGAAGACAACTTGGACTTAAAATTGCATATTTTTGGGAGCAAAACAGGAGAAAATGAACAAACATTCACTATGTTTCATTTCAGCTGAAGGAGAGCTGCAGTAAGAACTCGGACCTGCAGCACCAGCTGGAGAAAGCCAAGCAGCAGCACCAAGAGCTTCAGGCGCTGCAGCAAAACACCAATGGCAAACTGCGGGAGGCACAGGTACTGCACAACAATACATTGAGACTGGAAGGCCAAGAGAAAGCAGATTTTTATTAACAGGGCCAAAGTTGCTCTTGTTCACATTTTGTCTCTGCATGAACACAGACAATGGTTTTATTTGAGGTTTTATGGTCGACTAACACGCTACAGTGCTTACTTTTAAAGTGGAAAGAAAAGGATGCAATAACAGGAACAGGAAAGGCATCCGTTTGTTTTTAGCCCCTTTGATTTCAAACTTTCAAAACAAATAAAACAGCAGCATGTAGAGCCTGACATTGTTACCCATTCTTCTTTGCATTTCATGCTGAGCTCAGTCTGACTGAGAAAATGTGTGGACATATTTGATAAATTGTCTTCATGGAGGCTTTCTGCCAAGTTGGATTTAGGTCTGGACTTTTATTAGGCCACTCTAACACATGAATATGCATGACTATAAACCAGACCATCAGAGTTTAGCTCCTGCTCTGTGTTTTGTGTTGCTGCCCTGCAGGAAATTAAGCCTGTGCCTCAGTTTCAACTCTCAAATGCCCACAGCATGACGCTGCAGCAGCAGAACTAAATATAAAATGTTTTCCGGTGTCGTTCTGCAGAATGACTTGGAGCAGGTGCTGCGTCAGATCGGAGACAAAGACCAGAAGATCCAGAACCTGGAGGCTCTGCTCCAGAAGAGCAAAGACACTGTGAGCCAGCTGGAAGCGGAGAGAGATGATCTGTGTGCCAAAATCCAGGCTGGGGAGGGAGAGACGGCGCTCCTCAACCAGCTGAAAGAGAAGAACCACGCACTGCATGAACAGGTGGAGGCCCGCGCACTCTGGTCTTCTTCCTACCCATGATTGTGTCATGATGTTCTGTTCGTTTCTGTGCTTATGTCATACGCACAGTATTATGTTAAAGTCTGGAGCCACACAAAAGCCAGTAAATCAAAATCTTTGATATATTTTTTTCTAGGGTTGTAATTAACAATTATGTCAGTAATCGATTTGTTCAATCAATTTTTCAGATGATTAATTAGATAGAAAAGTGGTAAATTATGTAGATTTTTCTTTTAGACCCTTCAAATAAGAAAAAAATTTTTTTACAGTGCAACAACAGAGCAATCCTTTAGTGTACATTTAATCCTTTGCAGCAAACGATGCATCTGCAGCTAAAAGAAATCCTTCTAACATCAACATGTAAAAAGCTCAACCTGTTCTGTTTGACTTGACATTGTTAGACTGATCTGTTGATCTTTTTTAATTGATTGATTAATAATTGGATTAAAAAGGTAGTTAATGGATTTTTTTCATGCAATTTGAACCAGGTGAAACTTTGATTGTTCTGGATCAAACATATTTATTAATTTTTTTTATGTTAAATACAAAATGTATATATTTCTTTTTTACAGGTTTGGTTTTATTACTGCTCTGAGGGTGTTTTTCCTGTTAACTCCAGTTAACGATTAATCGGTTTTTAAGTCAGTTGGCAATTACTAGTAATTGCTCATCACAATTGACCCGATTAATCTCTTCGGCCCTAATCTTTTCACATTTAAAGGTTGTGCAGTTGACGGACAAGCTGAAGAACCAATCGGAGAGCAACAAGCAGGCCCAGGACAACCTTCACAAGCAGGTCCAGGAGCAGAAGACTCAGCTGCGTTCAGCCCAGGACCGAGCGCAGACCCTGGAGACGTCCGTCACCGAGCTCACTGCCCAGCTCACCGACAGCAAGGAGAAAGTATCCCAGCTGGACGCTCAGGTACGTCTGTCACTCAAACGCGGGTGGTTTCAACTCAAAACTTCAAAGTGTGTTGTGCTGTTGGACTAACAAGTTTTTCATTGGTCTGTTTTTTTTTTTTTTTTTTAGCTGAAGGCCAAAACAGAGCTGCTTCTGTCTGCAGAGGCGGCCAAGGCTGCACAGAAGGCCAACCTGGAGAACAGCCTGGAGGCGTCTCAGCATGCTCTGCAGGACAAACAGCAGGTGGGTTCTTTTCTTTGTGCCGATTATTTAATGAATTATTTATTTTTATTTCTATGCTAAAATCCAACTGTTTTGCTCCTTTTTGTTTCCTGAAACAGTTGCTTCTTGAGTTTTCTGTGATGTTTCCCTGTCTTTCCACTCTGGACTTGTGTGTCGTGCAGGAGCTGAGCGAAGCTCAGAAGAGGCTGGAGGATCAGGCCCAGAGGCTCAGAGACAGACAGGAGCAGAGTGCCCAGCTGGAGAGCAGCCTGAAGGAATGTAAAGACAAACTACTGGCCTCAGAGCAGCGGGTGGAGCAGCTGGAAGGGCTCAGCAAGGTTTGTATTAGAAACGTGATCGCAACCATCGTGCGCTTAAAAACCAACACTCTGATTTGAACAGAAACTGGAGTCTCAGGCGGCGGAGGTGCAGACCGCGAGAGATCAGCTCCAGCTGGAGGTGCAGAAGTTGCAGAAGGAAAGTTCAGAGGTGAAACGGAGAGCGAAGGAGCTGCAGCGCTCCCTGGAAACAGAAAAGGAAGGGTGAGCGCAGTAGAAACGCAATGTAGCTTCACATCTATGAAGGCTTTTCTAAAAGTTTAGCTTCTTTCACGGCTCTGATGTGTTTTTCTACACTTAGAACAAAGAGTCTGCACGAGGAGCTGCAGAAAAAGGCTGCAGCTGCGAGTGGCGTGCAGCAGCAGCTGGAGCGCTGTGAGCAGGAAATGGCGGCTCTGAAGGTGAACCTGGACAAGGTGACCCAGGAGGGACAGAGTCAGCAAGTGGAGCTGAGCAAGAAGGCTCAGAGTCTGGCTGCGGAGCTGCAGAAGGTCCAGCAGGAGAAGGAGGCGCAGAGGAAGGAGCTTGGAGCGATTCAGGAGAGCCTGCAGAAGGCCAACAAGGCTCTGAAGGAGAGTCAGAATCAGCTGGAGGCCGACAGGAAGAACCATAAATCAGCCATGGAGGACAAGGTGGGTTTGACCTTCAACCTGGATCAAATAAATAGCCACTCTTTAATACAAAAACAGAAACCGAAAGCAATGTTCTGCTCTTATCTTCAGGACAAGTCTATTGAAAAGACAAGAAAGGAGCTTTTGAAAACCAACGAGGCCATCACTAAGAAAATGAACGAATCGAAGGAGCAGCTGGAGCAAACGAGAGAGGTAATGCTCTGAAAAAGCAGCCGAGCTTCACCGTTTTCAGGTTTTATTCATAAGTGATTCCTCAAATGTCAGGCAGAGAAAGCGTTGCAGGCGCAGCTCACGTCATTTGAGCAGCAGCACTCAAAGACTCAGGGGACGCTGAAGGCAAAGGAGGAAGAGTTGAAGAATTTGCAGGATCAGCTGAAGACAGTTCGGGGATCCATGGAGGAGGAGGCGAAGAGGCTGAGCGGACAAGTGGCTGAGCTGCAGGGAGCGGCTGTCAAGACGGTGAGGATCTTCAGTAACTTCGACGAGCAGCTTTGAAACAATGCACAGGAGGATCCGAGCATACATTTGTTTGATTCTCCTCTCCAGGCGGAGGAGGAGAGGAAACTGGCAGCTCGGGTGTCGGAGCTCAGCCAGGAGCTGACTGCTGAGAGGAGCCGGGCGGCGGAGCTGCAGCAGTCCCTGCAGCAAAGCCAGGAAAACCTCTCAAAGCTTCAGTCCGACTTTTACGGCAAAGACTCTGAGGTTTCCTCTCTGCGTCAAGACCTCAAGGTACAAAAATCACCAGATGCAAACCAGGTTCACAGTGCCCAGCAGAAAAATGACTCCTTTTAACATTTCAGCTATTTTCTGGGTATTTCAGAGGAATTTTATGTTGAATTAAAATGTTATACTTCCGTTTGGGTCTCAACTACTTCTAAAAACAGCCTTAAAAAATTCCCACCCAGCTGTTTCTCTGGCATCAAGTTTAATGTTTGTTTCAAAAACCACCCGACTGCTGAGTCCCATTCGATGGGCACTCTGCCGTTACCCAGCAACCTCAGCCAAGCCGAGCCCAGTTACCTATTTGGTCATCTGGTTTTACCACCGTACAATGGCTGCTGGAAAACACAAATGTTTCGTTGACTTGCCATCTAGAAATCATTTGGTGTATTTGTGCTTTTCGAACATGTACGGTGGTATAAATGCACATCTGTTTACAGCCATTTTCACCTGCCAGTATAAACATTAAGTTTGCGGCGTGGCCAACGGCTGCTTATTTGGATTTAAAGTGACAGGAGGCCCTAAAACAGTTGGTTCTGAAAGGAGCTCAAAATATGCAGAACTGAGCAGATTAAGAGCTCATTGTCTAAGAACAATTGTGTGATTAGACTAATCCTAACCTATTCAAGAAACATAGGTTGTCTTTAAAAAAATACATTTAAGGTCCTCGTTGTGACGTGACAAAGTGTGAATACTTTTTTGCACAAACTAAGAGATGTTTTGTGTCTCCAGAGCTCAGAGGAGAAGCTGAGTATGGCGCAGGAGGAGCTGGCCGCCAATCGGACGCATCAGTCGGCTTTAGAGGCTCAGATCCAGGAACTGAAGGCGGCCCGGTCCGCTCTGGAGCAAGAACTCTCCAAATGCCACCAGACGCTCCAGCAGCAGGAGCAAACCCTGAAGGAGCTGCAAAAGCAAGAGGTCGGTCGAAGAGTTTGAACAGCAATGTTTACGATTGTGTTGTCATGATTTGCTAAGCGTGTGAGAACTGACGCAGGGTCAAGTTAAAGAGGAACTGCAGAAGGAGAGAAGCAAGGCGGAGGAGCTGAGCAAAGCCAAGAGCGCACTGGAAAAGAACAGCAGCAAGCTGACCTCTGACCTGAAAACGCTGGCGGAGAAAAGTGAGAAGGTGGGTCAGCTCTTCATGACCTCAGCGACGTTTTAAACTCATCAGTTCAACTCAGGAGTCAATGGGTTGAACTGGGTCTGGATGTATTTTTTTTTTACCAGTACACTTTTTGTGTTTCCATGCAGAGTGATGTCAGCCCATCCAGGCTGCCATTTTGCTTGACAAGCATGTTTTATCACTTTGAATTCAGGTCAACTCTATGAGAAAATATTAGAGCTAGTTTAAGGTTTTTTTCTTTTTTGTATGACATAATAACAATAAAGTCAAAGCCATTTGAGTATGACTGGAGAATCACTTCATAAATTCAGTCCATTTACTATTTATTTTCATGAACACATGTGATCCTTTGTTGAAAGCACCTGAACATTTGTTAATAATTCCTCCTTAGGAAGTAGGAGAGTTGCAGGAAGCCAAGCAGCTGCTGATCCAGCAGAAACTGGAGCTGCAGGGTCAAGTGGAGGCCATGCAGGGGGCGCTCAAGGAGGAGCAGAAGGAGCACCAGGTCACCAAGGACAACAGGAGCAAGCGAGAGGAGCAGCTCCTCGTCCAGACAAAGGAAGTCCAGGAGCAACTCGTAAGTCCCCTCCACCTGAATGCCTCTGATCCCCTCGCTGCCTCTTTTAGCGATCCGTTCCTCTGCTCTCCTTCTGCAGGCGGCGGAGAGGAGAGCCAGAGAGGAGCAGGTGAAGCGCGGGGAGGAGGCCGAAGCTAAGCTGAGCATGCAGGTCACGGCCCTGAATGAAAACGTGGCCACACTGAAGAGGGAGTGGCAGAGCAGCCAGCGGAGAGTCGGCGAGCTGGAGAAGCAGACGGACGAGCTGAGAGGAGAAATCGCTGTGCTGGAGGCTACAGTCCAGAACAACCAGGACGAACGGCGCGCTCTTCTGGAGAGGTCAGTGGACTCTTGGACGAAGAAAGTTGCTTTAGTCAGACTTTGAGAACACAGACATGAGAGGAACGCTTCGAGAGACGATCTGACTTCTGCAGCTTCTGCAGAGACGACTAGTTCCACAGCACAATGAGGGTAAAACTTCATAAAAAGTGGATTTAAATCTGTACTAATCAGGTTCCTCAAAAAATGAGGAGAAATCAAAAGAAAACAACCTCTCATCCCTCCAAGTAGCATATTCACCCGTTAGTGATCTGTGCCGTTTGCCCTGCAGGTGCGTCGCAGGTGAAGGCGAGATCGAGAAGCTCCAGGCCAAAGTGGTGGAGCTCCGGAGGAAGCTGGACGACACCACGGCGGCCATGCAGGAGCTCGGCAGAGAGAACCAGTCGCTCCAGGTGAGCTGGACCTGCTGCACATGCCGCCCACAGGCGGGTTGATCGCGTTGCTCCCTGAGTGTAACTGCTGCTGTCGACGTCCGCAGATCAAACAGTCGCAGAGTCTGACCAGAAAGTGGGCGGAGGACCATGAAGTCCAGAACTGCATGGCTTGTGGGAAAGGCTTCACCGTCACGGTCAGGAAGGTGAGAACTCCTCGTTGCTCCCAGCGAGAGACACGTTCTGCTTCCTGTTTGTCTTTACTGACTGCCCGTCATTTGCCTCCCTCCGTCCTCCTCTGAATCCGCAGCACCACTGTCGACACTGCGGGAACATCTTCTGCGGCGAGTGTTCGGCGAGGAACGCCCTCACGCCGTCCTCCAAGAAGCCCGTTCGGGTTTGCGAGACGTGCTTTGAGGAGCTCCAGGGCTGATCTTCAGTGTTCTCCTGCCCCTCAGCTCCCTCCCTTTAACCCTTTATATTCCAGCGGGCAGAAGAAGGCTCGTCTTTGTCATTTTTAATGTGCACTAATGAAAGACCGCCCCAGCGCAAAAAAGACTCCCATTTGCATTGGCCGTCTGTCCGTGGTGCGGAGGAGACGCAGCGGAGATGCAGTGGGATCAGCTGGGACCGTCCGTATCTGTTTTTGTGCCTTTTGCTCCTCCTGTGGACTGCCAGAGAGCGGAGGCGGTGGATCCGCGCTCACCTCTTTTAAGTTCGTATTCAGGCCTCCATCGGCGTTCGGCATCGTCAGCAGTTGTGAGGTGGCTGCTTTGATCTTTGCTCATGTCTGCTAGTGTCACACTGCACCGGGGAATGAACCGACTCGGCGCAGTGCCGCTCTGCCATACAAAGATAAATGCAAGTAACTTATTATTCGCTTGTAATTATACACGTCTACTATAGAACTCTTGAATTCATGCGTTTGAAGTGAGAAAGCACTACCTATAAAAGTATAATAAAAAAAAAAAAAATCCTGTTAACCAAAAATACAACCATATTTAGGTTCTGAAAACTGCAGAAAAAACTGGACTGGTCTGTCTTTTCTAGGCCAATAACTATCTCCACTTCTGATAGACATTTTTTCCATAAGGACAAACAATAATAGAAGAAACGAATCCTGCAGCTACTTTGGTACCAGTAGAGGCAATGAATCCTATGGAAAGTGAAGAAATTCCAAAAAATAATGGATCAATCCAAACGTCTCAAACTTATGTTTGGTGCAGTAAAGCACGTAAATGCATGTATTGACCAAAAATAGTGTTCGTTTTTAGTAGAATGAGAGCTTTCTTTTTTTCTGGTTTCACCTGCAGATCACACCCATTAAATAATCACAGCAATTAATTTGTCACCTTAAAGCAGTGCTACTCAATTCCAGTCCTCAGGCCCCCAGCTCTGCATGTTTTAGATGTGTTCTTAGGGAACAGCTGATCCATGTGGTTGCATGACCACAGATTCAATCCAGGTGTGGCAGAAGGGAAACGCCTAAAACATGCAGGTCAGGGAGGCCTGAGAACCCGAATTAAGAAATACTGCCTTAAAGTCATAAAGCTACGTTTTCACTTAACTAAAGATTAATTCCAGGTTCTAAAAATTGCATTTGTTTTTCAGTTTATCCTATTAACTCCAGTTTTGATTCCATTTATTATTTTGGTCCTGAAGATTAAAACACATAAAAACTGAAAATGTTCTGGATTTTCTTACAGCCGGTGCAGGAGTTAATCTTTGAAGCATATTTTGGTCCACTTTGTTGATGTCCTTATGAAAACGGAGAGAGTTATTAATTTTGGCGAACTCAAAAGACAAAAAGAAAAAAATCTCATTTTCTTTGTGTTTGACTTTCTATTGGCTGATTCTCATCTCTCGCCAACGGATTGGTGCATCTCTGCTAAGAGAGTAAAAGCAGAAATGGCTAAACATTTGTTGGAATCAGCTGAAGTATTTACTTTCTATATGTAAATTTCATTAAATAGACACTCAAATTAGACCTTTTTAAATTGTCAAACATTTACAGTGTTTATCTTTTTCATGATTTCTTCAAAGATCAGTCATCTTGTCCAGAACCTGTCATGTTAGTTACTTCCTGTTCTCTTTGTATGGCAGCATGTTTCCTAAGCTGCAGAAATGTATGTATTGAGTCCATTTCATGACCAAAGAATGTCTGCAGCAGAGTTTGTAATGTGTCAGTATTTGCCTGAAAGCGTTTGTGACATTTTTTATTGTGAGTCTTTTTGTTGCTTTGTCACTTGAGTGCGTGTGTGTTTATTAACTTCAGGTTGTGGTGATGCAGTAACTGAAGGTGCCTCCATGTTTTAATTTGGTCTTTTCTGCAGTCCAACAGCACTGATTGTGTTTGAGTGTGTGCGCTCTGCTTTGAAGCAATAACTGTACTGGTGTGTGTGTGTGTGTGTGTGTGTGTGTGTGTGTGTGTGTGCGTGTGTGTGTTCACGATCATGCCTGCTGCATGAATCCTAGCTGCTCAGAAGCTCAGCATCTCTGACTCGAGGTTCAGGATCTGCTGCCTTCAGGTACAGCAGTTACTGTCGCTTCTCTGTCCAGCTCAGAACACTGTAAAGCTAAATTCCTGCTATTTTAATTTATAATTGCTTGTGGGATCTATTGTACTTTTTTTTTTGTTTTTTGACTGGAGCAGGTGGAAACACTGTAAACAGATTATGCACAGTATTCTGCAGCAAGCAGCTTGTTTTAGCTCTTTTTGCCTGAATGATCATCTGACACGAATGTCCATTTCACCTTCTGACAAATGTTTTTATTATGTCAAATTGGTTTCATGCCTCCCTCACCTCGACTGAGGAAAAAGCACTATTTCTAGGCATTGGACATCACAAATGTATTACTACTTGTATCCGAGTGAGGATTTACGACTGGTGAGAGGTTTTGCACCTTACCCTACTCCTGGCCCATCTTTGCGAGGCTGCAAACATTAGACAACCAACTTTATTCAGGCTTCAGTATCTCCTGCTTGTTATTCACTAATGCTGTCATAGTTATCTTTGTAAATGTTCGTAATGAGAGAGGTGAATTACTTACGTGTGGCCGTAGACATGTGCTGTAAAACAGTTTGGATTCATCAGTGTCTCACTCATTTTTACAAAGCGATACCACAGACTTGCTTCAGACACTTTACTGGCTTCACGTGTTGCTGTCGGTTATCGTGCATGACGGCTTTACTTTTCAGTTTAGTGGATGTAGCTGGTGGTTGCGAAGGTGTGCCTGAGGCCAGGTTCCTCTGCTGCTTGCTGAGATCTTGTACAGTCTGGGTGGCTTCGTTTGACCTGCCTGGAGGGATGAGGTGGTGTATTCTGTGTTCACATGCGCCATGTTGATTTTCTTTTTCATTGTCATGACAAGTGTAAATAAAAACCTGCGGTATGTTTCTAAAGGTCTGCGACGCATGTTTTTCTTTAGGTTCTTGTCTGAAAATTGTCCACTTGTCTGTTTTAGATTTGTCCAGGAAATGACAATGACAGTCCACAGAATGATGCTGCCACCACCATGTTTTGGGGATGCTGCGTTTTCCAGCATGTTTCCCGTCAGCAGAGTTTTGCTCATCAATTTGTCTCCTTCAGGTTTCTCTTTCATGAACTCCATGTAGTTTGGATTCCTAAATTCTGTCTGCAAATTTTCTCACCTGAGCTGCTGATTGCTGCAGCTCCTCCAAAGTAAACATTGACCATTTAATTGATGAAAAGATTAAACAGTATTCATTGATCTTCAAATCCTTGAATATGTTGGAACCTAACGCTGCAATCATTTTGATAGTCAACAAATGTTTTTGTTTTCCTTGCAAACATTTTAATTGATTTGGAAAAATGTCAACCATGTATTAACGTTCATAAATTTAGTATCTAAATTTTTATTTTAAAAAGCTTCCCTTGAGTCAAATTTGCCAACAGGAAATCTAAGAAAAACATGTAGGGAATACAATCTGAAAATCCTTCAGCAGGAGAAAAAAAAAATAATAAGAATTTATTGTACACTAACACATTAGCTGCATTTAAAGGCACACAGAATTTACAAAATAATCCTAGAGTTGGAGCAGTCATTGTGACGGACTCCTAGGGACAGTGAAGTGCACATTGACATTTCCAGTGGCTTGAAGAGCTGCTGGATGGGATCAGATCTGGGAGGACTCCAGCCACAGGGAGGCGCTCTTGACTCGCGGCTGCTGAGAGTCCAGCTTCAGCAGCGCTGCCACAGCGCCCTCTAACTTCGTCATCCATTCCCTCTGGAAAAGTTGCACAAGAAGGAGGTCAGGAGCAAAGTAACAGCAGCTGTGTGTAAGGATTGAGCACAAACTCTTTGTATTATTGCTTCTGCATGAACAAAAGGCAAAACTAAAATAGGAATATAATTAAGTTACTGTGTAAAATTTTACATTTTACAGACAAATCTAAATTATTTTTAGATTTTTCATAGTAACAAGAAACTACATAACTGTAGAATAAAAATCTGAAAAGTGTGGCATGCATTTGTATCCAGCCCCAAAGGTTTTCATAAAAACTATATGCAATATGGATTACACAATGGGCCCACTGTCAAAAAACAAACAAACCCTGGTTTGAATCGTCACTCTCCATCTAATCTGAATGAGCTCAAGCTGGATGAAACCCAGGTCTAACCGCTGGCTCCTAGACTGGTACCAGTAATGTGTAGTAATTTAGGCAGTATAAACAAGTGAATGTGTGAGTGGTTTTATTTTGAAAAACCCAGAAACATCCATGTGTTTCTTTTGATGTGCTTGAGAAACATTAGGATATGGAGTGAAAAGGAGAAGGAAGATGATCACCCTCCACAGGTCCGATCTGTGGTTGGAGACCCCGACCCTGAAAGACTGGCAGTTAGTTGTGTTTGCATGAGAAAGGTGGCGCTACCAAGTGGAGTAGTGGTCTGAAGCACAAGTAGAGTTGACTCAGAGGTAAACACAAATGCATGCAACAGTTTTCATTATTTCCATTTGATAAACAAAAAAAACATTAAGCCTTTCACTTCACAATTATGGACGACTTTGTCTAGGAATGTTTTGTGGTTCTCTCAGTTTTTCATTTTTTGTTTCCAAAACTATTGGCATTTTCCTTCCAGCCCTTAAAGTGCATGACGTTTGAAACTTGTCTTAAGCTCAGACTTGAACGGATCTACCTTGGCAGACTCTGTCGCAGCTTGCAGGATGAATGCACCGATACACTGTTGGTACCGGTTGTGGTGCATTATGATGAAAGAATGTGGCAGCCCTGATGCTGTGAACAAAGCAGAAAGTTCTGTCATCAGAAACAAAAGTAGGAGTGTCTGATGTTTTAATTGTTCAATCTTCTCTGCTAAAACATGTACAAAAACTCTGCATGAGGAGTAGTTACTGGAGGCGTTTAGCTGATCAATGTTCCTGAGCTGCAGTCGATCCAGAGAGATGGGCTGATCGAGAACCGTGAAGGTGCATCCCTCCTTCAGCAGCTGGTCCAGCTCCAGGTTCTGCTGCAGCCGCAGGTGATTCTGCTCAGAACTGACAGACCTCTGTGCACAAAGTAAGAGCAAAAATAGGTACAACGTTCAGATACATGAACCTCTCCCCAGAGCATCTACCACTGGCCCAGAACAGAACAAGATGGGTGCATACCTTCTTGATTCTTTTTATCTTTGTGATCAGCAGGAATTCATCAAACAGGAACAGATAAACATCTATGAGCTTTGTGTTCTCTAGTGATGAACCAAAGAGAGACATTCTAAGATTCTGTACAAATTAAAAAAATGGAGGACATGAAACGTGTTGGATTTGAGCCAACGGTAGACACCTGTGAGCACCAGCTTCCCTTCATGCAGCAGACTTCTGTGGGAGATCAGATTGTCCAGAGTGACGGCCTTCAGGAGATGTTTCAGACTCTGGAAAACAAGCAGATCACATCAGATATGAGCTCCTGACAGGATCAGAAAAATTAAAAGATAAACAACTTCAAACGTGGAATCAGATATTACTTATCACGATTGTTTGTGGCAATCGTGTGTGATGATCAAACATTAAGATGCTAAAATATATGCAAATCAGACGAACCTCAGGGACGAAGGCACGTTTGTCTCTTTCCCAAACCGGCAGCCACACCAGCGCATCTCTCAGCTGTTTCACCTTCTGGTAATTATCCAGCCACTTGACCTTCCCTTCCAAATCACCTGGAAACAGAAGAGCCACAACACATCAGAATCCATACATGAGATTGGAAATTTGAACATTAGTGAATAAAACATTTCTGCCGATTTATATTTACTAAAAAATATAAAAATTGAATTGTCTTATTTAAGTTAAAACTAATTTTGCACAATTTTTGTAAATTTAAGGTATAAAAGTTTAGTTCAGTCACTCAATATCAACAAATTCACACCAATATAAATCAAAAACGATATTTCTATCAGAGCTACAATAGCTGCTCTAAAATCTTAAATATTTACAGGGTGTCTAATTTTTTAAAAAAAATTGTACTGTTTAGAGTGAATTACACGATTTTATTTATTTACAGAAACTTGTAAATAATTCTACAAGTAAAAATGTCTGTCATTTTTACCTACACTGACAAAGAAATGTAGCATCTTTTTTATTGTACATAGGGCTCATCACAGTGACAACATTGCTAATAAACCTTATCTTACTGTACTCATTTCTGCATGGTGAGGCCAAACATAGGTGTGGCTGAATTTCGTGAGAGATTACAGATTTTATGGTAAACATTCCCCACGCCCAGAGAGGACATTGGTCGACATATTTCACTCAGCAGCGCAAAATTTCCATCAGCTGCTTCTTTTATCATCACAGCCATTAAAAAAGGTGTGCTGCAGGAGCATGCGCCGCAGAAAAGAGGTGGTAAGCAACTTGGTATTAAGTCCATGTGGGTTTTCTGTACAAAATTACACCAAAGTGAAAGGCTGCTGTACATTTTCCTGTCCTGGCTCCAGAGAGAAGTGCCACAACAGGTCTGTTGGCTGCTGTCCAACACAGCTGAGTCACCTGCTCTTAATGAGAACTGATCTGACCTGTGCTGAGGCATAACCACTCTGACACCTGTCACACATGTTCAAACAGAATTGTAAACACCTGCACAGATATGCTGATGAAACCCAAGTGAGTGACAACACTTGGCGACTGAAGATGTGGCAAAAAAATAAATAAAAATCTGATTGCTTTCTTGCAGTCTGTTGAACAACTTCTACAATAAAAACTGTATTTTTCAGCCAGAGATAAAGTCACACACTCAGAAAAGTTAATGCATATTAAAGATGAAGATATTCAGAGAAAAAGTGTACATGCTGCTCACATATGGATGTGTCCACTTTCTCAGCTATAACCTGCAGCTCCCTGCTTTCCTCCAACATCTGACATCTCTTTGCGATATTCCTCAGCAGCAGCGGGTATCGGGTTATCCGCTGCAGAGGCGCCACCAGCAGGTCGCGTAGCTGCAGCCTTCGGCACTGTTCGCTCCTCTCACACCACTAAGCAGAAAGCAAGGACACAAAGAAAGGATTCATGAGAAGAAGACGGCAGAGTGGAGACAAGCATCTCATAGTAAATGAACCACTGTTAATTTACTATGAGAGTGCAGAGAGCTAACTTTTATGAAGGAGAACCCTCTAGGAAGCACATGTTGACAATCAGGAAGGATAAACTGCAAAAGGATGACATTCTTATTGGTAGGACCGTGAGACACTCAACTAATTATTTAAAAGAAGCGTTGCTAGGTGTTCTCACTCATACTTGGCACTCGCTGCCTGCAGTCAAAGGTACACTGCGTTCTGGCATTTGCTGACTAACAAACAAATCAGCTGCTGCCTGAACTCTGCCGTCTCCTGTACCTTTACGTATGACCCGAAGTCCTCCCTGTGCATCAGGTTGTGCAGATAAAGCAGCGCTGCTGAGTAGTTGAGGCAGTACTTCTCCAGACAGCGACATATGCTCTCCTGAAAAACCTGTCAGCAGATTCAGAAGTTATACAGACTGATGGGGGATCAGACTCCATATAATTCATGAGCTTCACTGTTTATGTATTTAGTTATTTTTTGTAAAGATATTCAAAGGCACTTGCAGTTCACATCTTTCTTGCAACATTTTTGAAAAACAGCAGTGAGAAAAAAATGGTTTCAGTTCTGCACATAGCACTAACCTGAATTTTAGAATAAAACATAAACTAAAGCATTTCAATGCACATTCTGTTGCATTGAAATGCAACAGAATGTGCAAAGCAATCACTTCTACAACTTTACACATAAACGGTGTGTGTAAAAGTCTGTCACAGTGTACACAAACACTTGCCTTGCTCAGCAGCTCCAGCAGGGTAGACCCATCCCCTGGGGTAATACTCAACAAGTTCTTGATGACACGCAAGAGGTTGTTCAGGAAACTAAAGCTGAC